GGTTTTTGAGAAAAAAAAATTAAACCAAATTTTTCCGTCATTTTTGAAGGGGTGTAGCTCCTTAGGGGAGCCGAAGTCGCCCATGGTTCATATATGAAAGTACCCTTAAAATTCACTAAAGTATCACCCCTTGAAGTTTGTTGCAGTCATTCAGATACACTCTGTATATAGGAAGTAGCTGTGTAACGATGCGTGAAAATGTCGTTAGTGACATGGGCTTTTCCTATTTTGAAATAAAGACCGAACCACTGGTAGGCTATGGAAACGGGATGGTAAAGCCTTTGGGATTGTTTACGGGTAAAGTTTCAATCAGCGATGTATCGGCAAAAGTGAAAATACATGTGGTACCAAAGGATTGCCCGAAGGTGTCATTAATCGTTGGGCATCCGTACACGGAACAACCTCACATCCAAATCACTAGTAGAAGTAACGAATTGAACATACAATATATATCAATATTGTGAAAATTAATTGCCTGTTAATAATGTAACTGAAAATGAAAAGACTGTTTTGCACACCGATACTGAAGCAGTTGTCCCGAGCAATTATTTGGGACATATTACAGTAGTTCGCAATATAGTAAATCGAGATCTATGTGTATAAGGTGGGATTCAAGAGAAAGGACAAGCTGTCCCAAGATATCTGATAAAGACCGACCATGATGGTTAATCCGTTTTACCAGTGTTAAATATATCTGATGAGGATCTGATCATTCCTAAGGGAACTAAGTTAACCAGAGCAGAACAATGCTTTGAAAAACATAGTATGTCAACCAGAGAAATTAACAAAGAAGAAGTAAATGAATATTCTATAAATACAGAAATTTATTGCGAAGGTAAGAAAATTCTGAAAATGTTATTGGATGATTATAGGGATTTGATTGCAAAGAATATTCACCAATTGGGTTGCACTAACAAAATACAAATGGATATTCAGGTGATTGGTGATACTGCTGTGTATTAAATCCACAAAAGTAATAGAAGACGCGAAGTCGCCTTTTGCCAGCCCTGTGATTTTGGTCAAGAAGAAAACTGGAGATGTGCGACTCTGTATTGATTACAGACCTTTAAATAAAATGACTGTAAAGGACCACTGTCCCCTACCGTTAATAGATGATCAGCTAGACTTACTAAGAGGTAAGCAATATTTTTGCAGTCTTGATTTACGCAGTGGGTATTACCAAGTACCATTGACGGATGGAGCTAAAGATAAAACTGCTTTCATTACGCGTGATGGTCATTATCAGTTCAATAGAATGAGTTTTGGTTTCTGTAACGCCCCTGTCGTGTTTCAAAGATTAATCAACACTGTACTTGGATCTCTAAGTTACGATGTAGCAATGGTATACGATATCATTACACCATCCACCACCATCGAGGAAGGAATGCATGAACTACATATGGTTTTTGATGTGCGAGATGCAGGTCTGACACTTAAGCTGGAAAAATGCTATTTTTTCATGAAGAAGATCCAATACTTTGGCTATGAGATAACTGAAACAGGAATACAACCAAGGTCCAGAGAATTGGAGAGCCTTGTCATGTTTCCTATACCAAAAGATGTACGAATCTTGTGAAGTTTCGTATGATTGGCGAGATATTTCCGGCGTTTCGTTAGACATTTCTCGATTATTATCCGACTGCTGACTGATTTACTATGGAAACAACCTCAAGATAACGCATTCTGTAAGATCAAAGAGGTGCTATCAAAAAAACTAGTATTATCGATCTTCGATACCAAGGCTTGGACAGAAGTTCACACGGATGCAAGTTCACTAGGAATAGCTGGAGTGCTGTTTCAGACCCAAGCAGATGGACTCCTATTTCGTATTTTAGTAGGAAGACGACCAAGGGCGAATCTAATATCATGCGTTCGAGTTGGAGGCTTTTGCAGTAGTGTGCACGTTGGAAAGATTTAGAGTGTATCTCATAGGTATCCCATTTGTGATACGTACTGACTGTAATAGTTTAAAAATGTTAGCTAATAAACGAGATTTGAATTCCAGAATCGGAAGATGGTTCGTAAGATTATCTGAATATAATTATACCATTGTATACCACAAGGGGAGTAGCAACGTCGTAGCAGATGCTTTGAGTAGAAATCCTGTGGAAGAGCCAGAAGACGTTGAAGTAAGAGGATTACCAATAATCGGAATTTCTATAACTACAGGTTGGGTTGCTGCAATGCAGAGGGATTGCAATGAAATTGCAAGGATTAGAGAAAAACTGGAATAAGGCGATAAACCCATCCATGACAAGTTTACGTAGATAAATTGTCGAGTATATCGATTAAAATCAGGAAGACTACGCTTATATGTACCTGAACCATTGAGGAATGAGTTGGTTAGTGAAACGCATAGAGAATTGATGCACCTAGGTATCGAGAAAACATTATCGAAGTTAAAAGAAAATTATTACTTCCCTAGGATAAAAGAAGCAGTTACAACTACAGTTTTGCGATGCATCAACAGCCTCTATTACGAGACGCTTAGAGGAAAACAACCTGGACTGTTGCATTCGTTGGACAAACGGAGGACGCCATTCCAAAGTATCCATATGGATCATTTGGGCCCGTTCCAGATGAAAGAAGGTACCAGAGAGAAGTATGTTGTCGTGTAATATTTCAAAAACGAGCTTAAATCTTTGTGAATAATTCAATACAAATTTAATCTTTTTAAGACAAACCATATTGATATTTAACAAAACGTTTAAAAATTTATTAACTTTGAAGGCCCATATCTTAGCCATCTATGGGTTTTGACGAAAAAGATTTATACGAATCATTTGCGATTAAAATTATGCCACGACTTACAGAAACACCTGTAGATTGTCATCTATACAATGAATGTTCAAAAAGGTAGCACTGTTTCAAACTCAAAGGTAGCCCTACTGTACAGGGGTGGTCCATTTAACATGAGACAAACGATTATCTCGAAAACGGTTCATTTTACATAAAAATGAATCAAATGGTAATTTTTTTTTTTTATAATTATTTCACTTTTATCCATATATTCAGATTTTGCAAACAAAAACATAGGGTTCCATTTAAAAGATTGGTCGTGACCTTCATATAACCTTGAAAATAAGGTCAAGGTCAATGTTATCATATGCTTTCCCCCTTCGCACAGAACAACTTTCGTTTGGTTCATTTTCATGTAAAATGAACCGTTTTCGAAATAATCGCTTGTCTCACGTTAAATGGACCAGCTGTATATCCAAACCTCAATAATCCGTTTCTAAGTACATAATTGTTATTTTGAAACTTATTTATTTGACCTTAAAACTTGTTCAAATCCTTTAATTTAAATTTGCGATTTATATAATTAGTAATAAAATATGTATACAGTATGTCCCCGGATCGAGTTACAAAGAGGAAAAAAATTTTTGTTACTGATTTTTCAAACTTATCTCAGCATAAATAATGCGTCGGATATGTTCAAACTACTAAATCGCATGAATATTTTAATTTGATTTGTCCGTATATTTTTCACTAACATAAGTTGTAACTTTTATGGTTTATATGGTTACATATCGTAAATTGAACTTGAAAAATTTTTAATTTAGGAAAAGTTTAATTTTTACATAAAAATGGCACTAATTAGTTAACTTCTCTAGTTAGAATAAAGTTCGTGCGATTTAGTGGTTTGAACATACCCGACGCATTATTTATGCTGAGATAAGTTTGAAAAATCAATAATAATGTTTTTTTCCTCTTTGTAACTCGATCCGGGGACATACTGTATAGTAATATAACCTAACCATAATTATTCCTTAATTGTCCTAAACTCACCTTTATCACATTATTGTATACAGGGGTGTATCTGAATGACATGCCCAAACTTCAGGGGGTGATTCTTTAGGCAATTTTAAGGATACTTTGATATATAAACCATGGGCGACTTGGGCTCCCCTAAGGAGCTACACGCCTCCAAAAATGGCGGAAAATTTTGGTTTAATTTTTTTTCTCAAAAACCATAAACGCTAGTACAACGAAATTTGGGGAATATGTTTAACTGGTAGTAGGGCACGTTTTCACCCTATTTGTACTTTCAACCTATCCTTCTAAACTACTAAACGTAACCACCCCCTTTACATTTTTGCAAAAATTTTTTATGCAGAGGGTAAATACATTAAAAAAAAATTACATAGGTAGAAGAAAGTATCCTAAAACTTTTTTGTCTCTCTAAAATTTTTCCAAAAACGACTAATTTTTGAGAAAAAAAAATAATAAAGCAAACACTGCCCGTTCAACAACGGGGTTGTCGATCAAAAGTTGGAATGAATTTTAATTGAAAAAATCTTGTTGAAAAACTTTTGATTAACAACGCTACAGCTTAACAGTTAGTGTTTGCTTAATTAATTTTTTTCTCAGAAACTATTAACTTTTCGAAGAACATCGTAGAGGCAAAAAAGTTTTAGAATATTTTCGTCTATCTAAATAAAATATTTCCAATGTTTTTATCATCGTCATAAAAAAGATCTAGATAAAAATTGAACGGGGGTGGTTATGTTTAGTAACTTAGAAGGGAAGATTGAAAGTACAAATAGGCTCGAAACATGCCCTATTATAAGCTAAACATATTTCCCAAATTTCATTTTCTTGGTGTTAATGGTTTTCGGGAAAAATAAAATAAACCAAAATTTTTCTCCATTTTTGAAGGGGCGTAGCTCCGCAGGGGAGTCGAAATCGCTGATAGTTTATATGAGAAAGTACCCTTAAAATTGCCTAAAGAATCACTCCCTGAAGTTTGGGCACGTCATTCAGATACACCCTGTATAAGAAAAAGGACGATAAATTTAAACTACGCGTGAATTTTGGGTAAAGTGCTACTTCCGATTATGTGATTTGATTAAAATTTTATATTTGAAATTTTGGAACATGTCGAATCATGCAAACAAAATATTGAATTTGAGTATGTTACTTGATATGAGCGATTATAAAATTTGTTTCCAATCAATTACAAACTTTTCAATGCAACACCTATAGAAATCACATTTAGATACATTTAGACAAGAATTTATCAAAAGAAATTAAAAAAAAAAGTTACATCTTTATATCTTTTTGTACAGTATGTAAGAGTTGAGCTGATTTCACAACTTCACACTTTTCTTCTTCAGCAAGATTTTGAATAACAATGTCATTAACTCCGTTGGATCCCAAAGACGCCGGAAGCGATAAATATACATCTTCCTGTATATCATGAAAACCCTAATAAAATAAAAGTAGAAAGGAGAACGTATCGGAAAACTATTTGATACAAACCTGAACAGGCACAGACACAGCATGTACAGATCCAAGATTTCCCAAAATAGCACTCGTCAATGCGGCAACAGACATACCAATAGCCCATGAAGTGTACCCTTTTAATTTGATCACATCACCGGCACTGCTAATAACTAGCCTGTGAACCTCACTCCACCGTTCAGGATCGTCTTTCTGTCCTATACGTGGATTTAAATCCACCAAACGAACTCCAGCTACGTTTACACCAGACCAAAGAGCAACTATGTAAACAAATAGAAAAAAATCAATTTATGAAAATCGAGTAAAATTAAAAGATTCTTTCTACACAATAGTAATGTACAAATTTCAATCAAACCTGTTCATGCCTTTTGCGAGTAGCTATTAATTTATATGGTATTTTGAAGAACCCATTACATCAATTACTTCAAGCTTACACTAAAATACTGGTTTTACCAGTACAACTTTTTTATTATTAGAGATAAGAGGACAAAAAATATTTTTAAAATTAACAAAATGTGCCGTTTAAAAAAAATAATTCATTGTTCATAAATATACAGGGTCATCCACGACTACCGTCCATTAGAACTTCACAGGGTTCTGGCCAAAATACAAATTTGAAAATTCAGATTTAAGTATTATCAATTACGTTCTCTTCGACTAAAATATTTTCAAATATCTAACACTTCCGGTTATACCGGAAGTCGCCACTTACTTTATTTTTTTAAATGGAACACCCTGTATATTTTTACATATTTGGATTTGTCTATTTTCAAGGTTTATAAATAACTTTACTTTTTGCAATTTGATTCGGTTGTTCTCGAGTTATTCGAATTTTTCTAGAAAAATCTGCTCCAGCAGACATTTGTTCAAAAAATCAGAGAACACTCGATTTTTGGGATATCAATTTAGGATTCAGAACATGCTTAAGCAACATGATGGAGTATGTTTTGATGCCGAGTATGGCTGTCTAAAACGTTTGGTCACTTTACTACGGCACGTTAACTTTTCGAAATTTGGAAATACCATAACTTCATTTTTTTAAATGGCACCCCCCATATTTTATTTCTGTAACTTGATCCGATT